ATGTTAATGGAATCTGAACTTATACTTCATTTTGGACTGCTCTTCTCAATAAAACAATTTGCTTCAGCAAGTTTTGAAATATCAGTGCCAGAAATGCCATTAATGTTACTGCTGTTACTTATAGATAGAAAGATTATAGAATAAATTGCTTTACAGACAGCTTTTCCTCAAAGGTTTCATTCTATTTATCAGAAGCAAAGCAGCTTGAATACCAATTTGAGTTCCTAGTTTTATCTTTAAATATTCAAGGAGAATGAAAAATAATCTGAGAAGATCCACAGGAAGTATCCAAACATACTATTTATGGTCACAAAACAGTTCTCCCAAAATGTGAACTATATTCATGTACATTATTTCAGCAACGTATCAACTATTGAACCATACTTGGCACAGTTTGACATATAAAATATGCAGCGGGAAGGATTAAGCAACTCATCATTTGTGCTATACAGGTAGTCCTCGGCTTACAATGGCAATTGGGACTGGAATTGCCATCACTAAGTGACGCAGTCGTAAAGCATGATGTCATGTGAGCACCTAGCTTAGCAACCTGGTTGTCCTGGTTGCTGTTGTTAAGTAAGGATCCCATGGATCATTAAGTGAGGACCTCACATGACTGTGACTTCTAACTCCCTGCCAGCTTCCCCATTGACTTTGCTTGTGGGAAATCACATGACCATGGTTTGCTACAATGTTGTAATCGCAAGCTGGGTGCTCAGGGTATGAATTGCAATCACATGACCGCAGGGACCCCACAACAGAACTTCAAGGACCACAGCACTGTCATAACTTTAAATAGTTGCTGAACGTATGAATGTAAGCTGAGGACTGCCTGTAGTTCTTTCTACTCAATCTCAAAGTAAGCTAAGGAAACCAGAATTGCTGTTTTTCAGCTAAAGTTGCATTTTCACATATAGAGTGGTTGGACCTAGCACAAATCACAAGGCTGCTCTGCCATCTCTGTAAAAGTTTTTTTTTTAGAAATAAAGTATGAGTATGTGTAGAAAAAGACCACACACTTTACAGCTGAATATATATATTTGTATTTGCCCGTGAACTGGATCTTGACTAAGATGTGTTGTGCCTTCACAAACGGAATCAGTGCGTGACCTGACTCAGTTACATTAACAGGTGCCCAAAAATTATGTTTATGTTCCAGAAGTACAATTTCAGCCATTGCAATAATGTAAATTGCTTCTTAAGATTGCAGTCTACACAGTATCTTTTCTTTCAGTGCAGTTCCCAGGATGATCATTTTAAAATAGGTAAACAACTTCTAAAATTCCTAGAGCTCTTCAAAGTAGAAACAAACAAACAAACATCTCTCTTTGTCTTTCATTTTCTCAATTAAATACACAATGTCTGCTCAAAATCAGACTTAGGCATAAGCTAAGCAAGCTACAACTTGAGGCCTCCAATCTGAAAGAGACACTCAAAATTTCATTTTTTTTCATTTATTACAGTTTTACTATAATTATGTATATGAAAGTCTCCATAAATTAAGTTCTCCTGTATAGATTCACACCTTCATTTTAAAGATGATTCCTCCCCACTCCCTCATATGTTTGTTATGCATCTTCACAGAATTCTTGCTAAGTTCATTTGTTACACAGCCTTACTCTCTGTCAGCACTTGTCAAAGAGAGCCTCTACAGCTTCCTGTAGATTAAATCTAAATCCAGCCCTGACTCTGGTTAAAAACCTCAAGTTGGCTCTTGTGGTGGTAGAGTGTAGGAGTAGGATGGGACGTGCAGGTTCAAATCCATCCTCAACCCCAGAAGCTAACTTTAGGCCAGTCGCTCTCTCTGTGCCTAATCTGCTTAGTAGGGTGGTCATAATAGAGATAAAACTGGAGAGAGCACTATGTACCCTGAAATGAACTTCTGGAGAAAAGGCGGGATATAAAATGAACAACAAAAACAGTATTTTCATTCCAACATCACACACATACTTAATTCCACTAGCAACCTAAGAAAAATTATCTGAATGAGCTGTCTTCTTAAAGGTTCCATCTGATGTCACCCTAACCATAACACAGCAGTCCAGGAAGACTGTTTTTGTATGACACATCCCCACAGCATTGCCTAATGTCATCTGCATCTCACACCTGAGGCAGCTGCAAGATCTTTTAGTTCTTCCAGTTTTCCTACTTCTCCCAACAATTTTTGCTAAGGGTGCACTCTAACAAGCTTCATAAATGATATGGTTGGTGCCATGAAGGATTGTTCAGACACTCCTGCTGAACAGAGTTTGCTTTTAGTGTGAATAATTAGAAATACACATGTGCTCCTTGTGGTAGGGAAAGACTGAGTTCTATGCAGGAAAAGCAGATGTTCAGTAAAGGAGTAATGTTCAGTAAAGAACATTAGCTCTAAATAAGTGCAGATATTATAGCTGAAGTCCTGGGACTTCTAAGGCTTGAGTTCCTATTGTACATGTCTACTTTACCTGTGTATCAGCAGAACAACAATGCTACACTCACACAATGCTCTGCCTGTGTTTACACAATATGCTTAAAGTGGTTACTGAATGAACCCATTTACTGATGTTGTACATTTCATTGAATCATGAACCATCCAGGTTGGATTTGCATAACGTGCAAAGCTACAAAGAGACAAACCAAGGTCAAAAGTAACCAAGCTTAGCTTCTTATGTGAATGCAGCATATTCTGCAAACAGTAGTACACTGAAGGATATTGTGTAATATAGCCACTGAACTACAAACTAGGCAACCACATTTTAGACTAGAATGCTGAGGGAATTCAGCTTGTGTGGTTAGTTTATGGTTCATTGAACACCGATAGATTTAGACTGTATGACAGTTTATTTCATGTACAGTTGATAAGTATTCCTAATCACAAGGACACTAATATGATCAAATATTATGGCATCACAACACAAACTCCACTCTTTCATTGCAACATCACATGCAAGTACCTAAAGGGTGGAATTGTAATGCACATTTCATCACACACACACACACACACTGTGCTCTGGGGTTTTGTAAATTCTAGGAAACAAACATTTTATGTCCTCCAATCAGAACAGTGCATCTACAGACATTGCCACTCCTATGGAATAGCCTTGTGTGTGTGTCTTCAAGTCAGTGTAGATTCCTGGAGACTGCCTGGACAAGTCCCTGCAGTTTTCTTGGCAAGATTTTGGGTTTGCCATTGCCTGATTCCTAGGGCTGAGAGACGGTGGTTTGCCCAAGGCCACCCAGCTAGCATTGTGCCTAAGGTGGAACTAGAACTCACAGTCTCCTGGTTTCTAACCTGGTACCTTAAACACTACGCCAAACTGGCTCTCATGGAGAAGCCTTACCATTCCCCAAAACCTATCCACATGAATTCACAACACACTAAGACAGAATGCCTTAACCATGGTTAACTGGATAAACTACAATTTAAACTACACAACATGCTAAACCGTAAACCACACTGTCTAGATTTACTCATCATGCTAAATCACACATAAGCAAATCTCTAACAGCAGTCCAGTTCTTGGGCTAATATGTAGTTCATGGTTTTGTTCCTATAAGAAACAAGGGCAGGGCAACCTTAGTGGGTTTTCTTAGTGGGTTTTCACCAACAAATAGTTCCAGTCAATGGCTGGAAGGTGCATACAGTAGCCAAGAGTCATTCTTTCTTCTCCCCAGCTCCAGCCTGGGCAGAGACAGTACCCCAGTTCAATACAGAATAGTTTGATAATATAGATGACTGGAAGTATGTGATGTCCATTAATATAATCTAGGCCCAACAACAAAGTTATCATATAAATAGTAGCAGTTGACTACAAAGTGAACATGAGACAATTCTTCTATATGACTATTTAAAAAGCCAAATGCAATTGCAGTTTGCATCAATAGAAGTATAATTTTTAAAAACTGAAGTAATCAATTCACTTTATTCTGCTTTGGTGAGACCCTGTCTTAAGTACTGGGTTCAGTTCTGCGCATTGCAGTAAAGATCCATAGAAATTGAAACAGGTTTAGAGAAGGGCAACAGGGATGAATAGGGAACTAGAGTCCAACCCCTATAGAGAAATTGAAGGCACTGGGTTTGTTTAGAGAAAAGACAATGAAGGAGAATAGGCTAGCCCTCTTCAAATACATGAAAGGATGTCACACACAAGATAGCCAAGATGTGTTGTCTCTATTCCTGAATGTGGGACTTGGAATAATGGATTTAAGTTACAGGAAGGTAAAATCTGACTGAACATAAAGAAAAACTTCCTAGCAGACAGAGCAGTTTGAAGGCGGAATCCGTTATCCAGAAACAGATGTGTTAAGCAGAGGCTCGATCGTTGTGGGGCTTTGAATTCCTGCACTGAGCAGGTTGGACTCAACAGGCCCTTTTCATTCTATGATTTTAAAATGGAGTCCATGATGAACCTCCTCTTATTAATCTACAGCAGATGACAGACATGTATGTATTGCAATGTGCAAATATGAGTTTTCCTTTCAGTATTAAAGATGCTCACAATAACTGTGTAAGAACAAGCTTGCAGTGTTGCTCCTTAAGATAAAAAAGAAAAAGTCCAAGGAGATATTATGACCTGAAATTAATGCAGGGGAAATGTCATGCTGCTGTAACAGAAAGCACCTCTAATAGTGAATACGAGGCTTAACATTTTGGCATCTGTGCAATAATGGAAAGCAACACTGAATGCCTGCTTCCTGATCTACGCCTGGTGATTATCAGCTACTGCATTGCAAGTATATGATAATGTAGTATGTAACTCCCAAGCAAGCAATAGGGTGCTATGTTGCTTCCTATGTGTGCTAATACATCCTTTATTACCAAACGGCCCCTTTAAAAATTCCAGGATGCTCAGCTAGGGTGGCAGTGACAAGCAGATGCGATCCAATTAGAGCCAGCATTTGCCATGAATGGCTTTGTGTGCGACTGATGGGAAGGAAGAGAAGAGGACGGCAGCAACAAGTGCTGTGTGCAGGCTGCAAGTCTCACTGCCGCTGCCGCTGCCGCCGCCACTCTGAACTGCACCCACATCCAGGCAAGGGTGTGGCAAGAGAAGGCAGAGCAAGAGCCCTTGAGCTTTGGATGCTGGAGAAACTTGGGATCCTCAGGGAAAGGGGATCGGCAGACCTCAGTTCAGGTATCGTGGTCAAACAGGGAGGAGGGAAGGCAGTGATAAGAGGGCAGACCAGTGATGGCACCTTTGCACGATGGAGTGGTTAAAGGTGATTATGTGAATTCTTTTCAAAAGGCACAACCCAGGAACCCAAATGGAGGGGGGTGGGGGAGGGATTTTCTCTGTGACTAGGTAGGCGTCTGGCATCTGTGCTGCTCTTGTTTTTGACATCATGGTTGAAACTCTGGGGGGAAGATGTAGGTGGAGACTGCAGCTAGATTTAGTGTCATATTTACATCTCCTGAAGGAAAATAAGATTAGCAGCTTTCCCTGTTATGCTTAGAGCAGGGGTTGCCAACATTTCAACATTATGACTCATGTACCTTTAATAGTTTGGGGAAAGGCAGCAGATGTGCTGCTTGTCATGTCACAGTGCTACAGGGGTTTGAAAATCTGCTTGCCAACATTTCCTTCCCCAGCAAGCTTCATCTTAGGCGATAGGTTGTGGCAAGGTTGAAGAGGAGAAGGAAGCATTCTTATAGGGATAGAGAGGATTCCCCCCTACCCAAGAGATTTCCTCCATCACTATGACCAGCAGGATCCTAAGAGCCACAGCAGGTTGGCTATAGGCAGTACCTACAAATCCAGATTTTCAGATACCAAATTGGTGGCTATAGCTGATCCCCAAAATGGCCTATTTATATCACAGTATTCAATTGATTTATCAATCAGTCAATTTCCTCAGGGAACTCTGGGGATTGTAGTTCTGTGACCAGCTACTAAAGATCCCTCACAGAATTCTCTGCATCCTCTCCAGACTACAATTCCCAGCATTCTTTGACAGCAGAAGCCATGACAGTTAAACTGGTATAGAACACACAGAATTCTGTGGTCCTGTTTACGTCTTTTGGGACAGCTTGGTAGTGGAGTTAATTGCTCTTACCATCTTTGGCATATAATGTCAGTCATAGTTTTTTATAATTACTTTTCAGTCATGTGCACCATTTTATTTTGTCCATTTTGTCAACTATAAAAATATGCCATCAACAGAAAAGGATTCAGGCATATAGATTCCCCTCTTAGGATCTGAGAGTTTCAAAAAACGTAACAGCAAAGCAATCCAATACTGGGAAGGAAGGCAGGAAGGAAAAGGTCTCTAATTAGTATGCTTTACAGCAGAAAAGTGGCAGAGAGAACAGATGCTTAACCTCTTTTCCTTGCCAAACTATTCTACCATGCTGTGAATATCCCAACTCTCATCAAGCAGATTCATTTCAGGGGTAGAATAAGAAACAGGGAATGGACAAGCGGAATTCCTTTCCACAGTGTCTCTCCCTTAAGGTCAGAACAACATGTTACAAATGAAAACAGGATTTCCAAGCTTCCTGTTTCTTTGTAATGTTAATCATTCCCCACTGAATGCTTCTTCCCTGCAAAAATCTCCTGACCTTATTATGTACAAACTTTTTTCCCATTGCAGTGAATCCAAATGGAGCAGGCATTTTTTTTCCTTTCTCCCCTGTAGTTGTCATACTTGCACTCCTATCAGCTTAGCTGACGTAGATTTCAGAATATGTTTTAAATAAAAGGACTATGTTGTACTAGTACATAAAAGTTCTTCTCCTTCTCCTTCTCCTTCTCCTTCTCCTTCTCCTTCTCCTTCTCCTTCTCCTTCTCCTTCTCCTCCTCTCTTTCAAAAGAGAAGAGAATTTTGGTGCAAATTCCTGGGCAGAGTACAGTGCTCTTGCATTTACTTAGTTAAAAATTGGTCTTGTAACTTTAGAACATTATAGACCCCAAAACAAACTCCTCAGATAGGCCTTTCACTGCTGAGAGGTCTGAGGTGCTCAGCTTCCCCCTAGGCTGTAGCGGTTGAGGGCAGGTGGAATGAACAGGGCCACATGGTTGCTTCTTCCCTTAAGGATGTGAGGCTTATGAGGGTCCTTCCTCACCTCCTTAGTCATCCAAGATATTCCTTCTCCCCTCCTACTTGACCATTAGACTTAGGGTGGATCTCCTGCCCCTTCCCATGCCATCTGGATGACCACCAGATGGCAGCAGATAAATGAAGTTGTATTTTGTATCATATTGAATGCAGCAGCCCAAGTAGAAAGGAGGAGGAGAATGAGGAGATAAAGAAAGCAGCTAGCAGCAAGTGGTGGGGAAGCCACCAGGACCTCCCATTTGCAGAGTATATTGCTGCTTCTGACACATTACTTGAGAGCAGCAGCAATGGAGATATCTATTCCCTCACTTATTCTCTCCTCACTTCCACAGAGACTACTCTTCTGCTACAACTCCTATTGGGGCCCTGCTTTGGGTTATCACATCTGGTCTGCAAAAACTGGGACAATCGTCACCCGTAACAGCAAAGTAATAGGAAAAAAAAAACCTTCGCTGTTGCTTGCTGGTCATCTAGACTTTTGCAGACCAGATAAAGTAGCCCTACCCCAGTGGGAGTAGCCATGGAGTTCATTGTGGGTAGCTGCCACCCCTCGCTTCACTTTATTTATGCCACTGATCTGCAACCTCCCTGGCTTCCATGCTTCTTTTAAATCCCCAGAAGGAATTCCTTCCACCGGGGTTTTAGGAATGGGATAGGGCTAGTTGGGCTGCTTCACAGTGATGAAAACATATTTTTCCAAAAAACACCACCAGCACTAACATTCTCCATCACCTTCAACAGCAGAGTAATTGAAAAAGGGAGAGAGAAATGTTCACAAGGCTTTTGTCCTCAATCGTTTCTTCTCAGTGGAGGAAGGAAAGAAGGAAAGCCAACCAGCTAGCTATCAGGGCTTTGTTACAGAAATTTACAGTCACAAATATTTAAGTCATCAACTTTTGTCTGAACATAGGTGCCAGTTTTAACTTCTGTGCTGGAATTAGATGAAAATGTATTCATATTGTTTGCCCCTATAGAGATTACTTGCCCATCTTTCTGTGCTCTGGAAAAGGAGAAGAGTGAGTGGATGGCTGTGACGTACCTGACCTCAGTGCAAATCAACCCACCTGTAGCCTGAAGAAACTGTTGTGCGGCTTCCCAGTTCTAAGGAGCGTGAAAAAAAGACTAATTTTCTTTGCCTTAGCAGCCATGCAGGACTGCCTACTACTGATTGGATGACCAGCATGTTTTTGGCAACTGAGACATCTTGGCCTGCACTGTTCCTTTGCTCTCAAGTTCTCTTCTGCCTCTTCTTTTGTACCCCTTCCTGTTGTTGTACGTCCTGCCCTGAACAGTGTCAGTGTACCAATTATTCAGGGGCAACTGCTGTTCTGTGCAGTGCTAGCAACTTGGAAGAGATTCCAACAGATATTCCTAAAGATACCATGTTTCTGAAGCTGGATGCAAATAAAATTACTGCAGTTCCCAACAGCACTTTCAGGCATCTTGCCCACTTACAAGAAATAGATCTCTCCAAAAATGCCATTGAGAAGATTGATTCAGCAGCATTTAAGGGTGTGGCTGATGGCCTGCGCTTGCTGGATCTCTCTGGCAATCATATACAGAGAATCCCCAAGGAAGCCCTGGTCAACTTGAATGCCATGATTCGCTTATCCAACAACCCTTGGCATTGTGAATGTACTTTGCAGGAAGTCTTGTGGGAAGTGAAACTGGACCCTGATTCAGTCAATGAGATCACATGCCAAACATCTGTGCAAGAGGAATATGCTGGCAAACCTCTGCTCCACATCCTGGATTCAGGCATCAACTTTTGCAACATGCACCAGAAAACTACTGATGTTGCCATGTTTGTTACCATGTTCAGTTGGTTTACCTTGGTCATTAGCTATGTGGTTTACTATGTCCGGCACAACCAAGAGGATACAAAGAAGCATCTGGAATACTTGAAGTCATTACCTAGCACAAGAGTTCCTAAAGAGACTATCAGCACAATCCTGTAGCCAGGGGTGCTGACCCTCAGCTATACAGCCTGTTTTCTAAAGAAGAAAATGTTGAATGTGAAACATAGAAAGTTTATTTCCTACTAATTCAGCCAGGACTTTTCTAATTTTTTTAAAAAAACAAAATGTTTCATAAAAGGTTAAAAAAATATTGACATTATAAGCATAGTAAGAATGTCTAAACCATGTTTCCCTGCGTTCCATGCTATTGTTACCAATAGTGGACCCAGCAAACACTATAGAGAAAATCTATAAAATGATCTCCTTGGCAAGACATTTGGACAGTACATGGTTTATTATGGCTCCCTGAAGTTCACAATCAAGATCTGATTCCAAGAGAGAAATTTAAAAACCCTCAAATGGAGCAATATAATCCTGACAAATGTGCTCACGATGTCAATGGAAGTATGTACATGGTTGACTTTTGCTTGATACTCCACAGAACACTTTCTCTAAAGCTAACAGACAGTTCTGTCTCCAAATTCATAGATTTTGCAAACAAGAACCCATATAGATTGGTGTAATTTAATATGATACATGTGATGCGTATGTTTGTGTGTGTGCTGCAAATCTAAAGAGGATATACTTTATACTGCATCTGGAGCCCGTACGTCTTCATTCTTCATCAGACTGATAACGTGTTTTTAATTCCACAAACATTATAGTAAAGGAAAAAGTATGCATATGTTATAAAGAACAATGCTGAATAGTTTCTCCTTAGATAGGTGGGGCAGATACATAATGGTGAAATTGTCTATTTCTACCTACGCTTACTTCATATTGCAAATGGTAGCCTGAAAGTACAGCTGGTCTGGAGATTAATAAATCTGAAAAGGGAAAAATGAATAATATTTTTAACTTAAAAAAAAAAAAACTAGTTGTCCTATTTGATAACAGTTCCTCAGTGAGTTCCTAAAACAAGTTCAGTAACCAAATAGAATCTACTGGCAGCAAATAAATTTGACAGCAACACTACACAGTATTCACACACTACACTAGGCACAAAAACATGTTGGGCTTGCCATTTGAAAACAGAGCCCCAAATTAAGCCTTCATCCTGTGTGGACCCAGTTATTATGCATTTTAAGACTCTTGAGAACCTTACCTTTGATTCCCTGCCATGCTGTTTTAGTGTGCTATCATAGCTCCCAACTTTCCAGCTGGCTACTTTTTGGAAAATGTATGTTCTAATTACCCAACACAGATTTATATTGGATGTATTTGGTAGAATTCCATATATCTATCTTGCAGGGTTGTGCAGTACTATGGTTTCACTCACCCAAAAGTGTTTGGAACATGTGAGAGCACAAATGTGGCACCTCTCTGCAACACCTTAAAGCATCAAGGCCATTTTCTTGGATTGCATGTGATCCTGGGAAAAGATGCAACTGCTGTAAGGTGTTGCAGGGGCCACATTTGTAATTCTTTGCACTCTTAACACTTTTTGGAGATCACGTGTAATAGTTTGTGAGAAGGACCTTGAGAAATGGGGCAAAGAGATGCTGCCTAGGGAACTTTCAGATAAGAGAAGGTATAGTCTGCAGCTGCATAATGGGTGGAGAAAGAGGCTCAGAAGGGACCCTCCCTAACTTCTCAGGCTGTAAAGGAGACAGCAGGAGATTTGTACTTTGAGACTTGAAAGATTGATGTCAGCGTTCCCAGGTAGGCCAGACAGGAAACACAATCAGATGAGCTAATTCTACTTTATTGTAAGGCTACATTAAAAGAATCTTGCAAGTCTGAAAGTACAAATCTCCCACTATCTTCTTTACAGCCTGAGAAGTGAAGAAGGGTCCCTTATGAGCCTCTTTCTCCACCCATTATGCAGCTGCGAGCTATGCCTTCTCTTATCTGACTATTCCCTAGACAGTATTTCTTCGCCCCATTTCTCAAGGTCCTTCTCACATACCATTACATCACATCTGAAGCTCTACCATGCAACAGCTGACTAATCAACCCTTTGACAAATTTCAGGACAGAAGTTCAGGGCCTTTTTTCTGATTGCTGGTTTTATACTACTGCTTATGTACGTTCGCTATTAATTTGTTGTGCAGGATACAGATGTTTTTCTTCTGGTAACATTTGAGTTATGGGGATATAATTCAGTCTGATGTTGAAACTATTCTATCTTCTTCCTGGAAAAGCATAATTCTTAGTGTAGAATGTGGCTATGACATCTCTCATAATGAGTAACAGATTCCTGCACTATTTTGTGAACTTAGAAAATACTGGTGGCTGTGCATCCATTTACTATGTAGTTAAATCCCGAAGAGGTCATCCAATGTCACTTTTTTTCTTTTAAACTGTTTAAAAATCAAAGAGGTTATCCTCTTGCTCCTCCTTTTATTAAAAAAAGGTGCTACACAAACATTAAAAATCACTAATATTTCTGCAAACAAACTGATAATTTAATAAACATAGCCCATAAGGAAAAAAGAAGATGGAAGAAACAGGAAGATAAGTTAAATTCAGTGCTAATTCTTCATATAGGGGACATAATTCCTACCTGCAGATCCTATTGCACAGAAACTTGCCTGTGTGTTTGGAAATAATTATTGTAATTATAATTGTTACCTGCAGGAAGCCAATTCCCTTCCCAATTGAATTTATGCCTGCATTGCCCCCAGTTGGTCTTGTAAAGGAATGGACCCTTTTACTTTGGGCTGAAGAAGTTTGGCAGCACTTATTACACCCAACTTTATTAATTAGCAGTATTATATCTGGGCTGCACAAATCTGGACAACCACTAGATGGCAGCAAAAAGATACTCTTTGCTGCCATTTAGTGGTCTTCTGGATTTTTAAGCCCAGGTAACATAGCCCTAAATTAATTATCTGCCATATTTTGCTTGTTTTGAGTTAACTGGAGTTTAATGCTATAATATGAAGAGGTTGGATAAAGCAGAGAAGAATGGAACATTTGCAAAGGAAAATTAGGAGGAGGATAGTGGTCTATGAGACAGAGGAGTTGTGACTTTTTATCATATGCTCTGCATAATGGTCTTTTTAAAAAACTCATTCTTTTGCCTTGTAGCTCTATCAATTACTATATTATCAGCAGCTAGAAACAAAACCCAAGGCCAAAACATTTGTGTGAGCATAGATGGAAATAATACCATGCAGATAGATCTTGCCTAGAAGAGCAACTCCCTGTTTCCTTCCCTTGCTTCTTTCCTTCCATTATCCTTGCCTTTGCCTGTTCTGCTCCATAGTACACATTTTCCTGATCACACTTGGCTTACAGGTTTATTATCTCTAGTCACATTGGCTGTTGAAAATACTTGAAGTAGGAAAGGTTGCTTTGGACTGTGTCCCTACAAGTAGTGTTTGGAGTATGACCACTCATTCAGTGACCATTCAAAGTTACAACAGCATTGAACAAGGAGGACTTACGACTGGTCCTCTGAGTTCTGGCTGTCACAATGTGCCTGCAGTCATGTGATCACACTCCAGGTACTCAATGCCTGGTTTGCAATTACAACATAGCAGCAAGCTGTGGTCATGTGATTCCAATTTCCAACATTCCTTACCAGATTCCCAAAAGCAAAATCAATGGGGAAACTGTCAGGAGGTCACAAGTTGCTCCCACTCCCATCACTTTTTCACCTGCCCACACTATGCAGTGCCTGCCTGCAGCACCCCACCACTTGCCCTCCCATGGCACCCACACACCTATCTACACTTTGCAGCACCTGCCCATGGTACCCTCCCACCCATAGCTCTCACCCGCAGCTCTTGCCTCCTTGCCTGGGACTCCCACCTCTTCCTGCTTAATGACCCACATGTCCAGGGGTTACAATGGCAATTGAAACTGCCAGGATTACAGTCGCTAAGTGATGAGGTCAATGCTTTATGGCCACATTGCTTAGTGACAGAAATTCTGGTCCCAATTGCCGTCATAACTTGAGTACTACCTGTACTTTCACTTTAACACTGCACAGTCATGCTCTAATAACACTTATTTTTCCCTTAGCTCCACAACATTATTCTCATCTCCTCCACAGCCCATGAGTGAAACAGATTTAAATCATTCTTAAGTGTACCAGTTTTTTAAAAGTAGTATTTCTCCACTCAAACTGATACTGCATAGGAGCAGAGGCAGACAAAGTAGCTTAAAGCAGCCCAGGCACAGCCCTGAAGTCAGACCTATCTCATACCTGTTGCAGAGCTTTGATGAATGGATTTTTCCCTCTTGGCTGGTGACCTGAAGGGAGATGGTAAAGAAGAAAACCCATCACTTTGCCTAGTGTAACTCACAGCTCAGAAAAGACAATTTAGAGACAGAAGAGGATTGGCAATAAGGACAGCAAATGTTGTGCTGGCATTGCAATGGAAAAACCCTTTAGCAATTAAGGTTCCCCAACATCCTTGGGCTGTTTTTTAATCATATCCACAGTTACTTCAGAATCCTTCATTTTATCCCTTCCTTCTGTCCATGAGCTTTATGTGTCTCCTTGATTACTTCCTTCCTACATCCCTCCTTCCTTTATCTCCTTGGCTTCTCATTGCTGTTTTGCTTGCTCATATTATGCCAAGAACCCTACCAGTTCTGACATTAAACGAGCAGCAGAGCTTCTGTGCAATTGCCTCTTATCCTACACTGACTCAGTACCAACTGGAAAGTCAAAAAGGATGTGGGAGAAGCACAGAAGTGGAGGACAGACTATGACAGCTTTGTCAGCTTTCAGATTGAAGCAGGTTGTCATAGTGAGTAATCCAGCCTTCTTCAACCTGGTGCTCTCCAGATGGACAGTGACAACAATTCCCAGAACTTCTGACCCATGTGGTCAACAGACTTGACAAAATTCTGAGCATTCCACTTTAATACATTGGGAAAGTACTAGATTCATTTATACTGTTAAACTCATTTATATTGTCAACGGATTATGTTTCAATTATTTTAGAGCAAGGAATCATTACAAGGCACCACGTGATAACACTGCTGTAAACATATAATAAACTTTGAAATAAAACATTACCTAAATGGCTTACAATTTGGCTTCATAGAAGAAGCAATTATCAAGCTGAACTAGCAGAAAGAAAGATCTTTAGCTATACTCAGGAGCAAATACACATTGATTAAAGAGTGATATTGGTCTATTACAAAGATTGACAACACACGACCTGCAGAAGACAGTGTGCATGATAGCCTTAGATGGCATCTGAGGATTCAAAAAATGAAATATATAATCTTTAAAAAAATAGAGCAAAAAGATTTCACATTAGTAAAATCACCAAATCTCATGAGATGTTGGTATTCCGCATCAGATCTCTCAGGATTTAAGGCTATACTGACAAAATTTCATGAGTTTTCAAGGATGAGCATACAAGACCTTCATGCAATTTGGTGATCCTGTGAGATCAAGTGATGATGCCCAGCACTTCAAAAGGTTCTTGACACCAGGACATTTTAATTGAATCAAATGGTGCATGGGGGGGGGGATGTCTCCATCCATTTTATCCCTGCCATCATGTCTTCATGTTGTAGGTTGGGCTGAGAGAAAGTGACTAGCCCAGAGTCACCCACTAAGCTGTATCCTGGGGTGGAGACTTAAGCTGATGCATTTCTTTTCCAGGTTCACTATTCCATTCTCCAGAGATAGAACAAAATATAACAATATTCCCCCTTGCAGCTGAAGGCAGAGAGTCTAACTTGGGGACGTGGGTAAGGCAGGCTCCAAGGCAAACACAGATCTGTCTGACTCAGTGCACTTATTTCCTGCTCCATTTGGTGTTTGTGGTTTAAACACATGCCTCACACCATATATATGGCAATTTCATAATTTCACTATCCATTGATTGAAGTAAATACAAGTACTGTACTGAATTCTTAAGTTTTCTCACTTTGCTTTACTTTCTCTAAATGTCAAATTGAATCCAGGCTGGATAACTCCAATACTTAAATTATGTGGAGCTCAGACATCACAGTAGTTGGAGCTATAGTTAGATTTCACCTGAGATGAAGCTGGAATGCAAATAAGCACTGACACAGCACCTCTGAGATGGTGCAAATCACTCTGTTGATTTTATTAGGAACTGCTTTCAATATTGTAAATATTATCCCAATAATAAATAAGTCCATCTCCATATAACAAATGTGACTGTCATCAATTTACATATTATAATATTTCATAAATGGACAATAACATATTTCTTAGCAGCAAATAGAAGCTTTACTATTCACAAACTAGCATGAGATCATAAACTAAGAAAGTATCAATCAACTAGGGTTGGAGTTTATTGCAGAGATATCATAAATCCATATAAAAAATACTGGGCTTTCCTGATGTCCCCAAGTGAAAATGGTCAGAATCATTCTTTCTTAAAGCTTAAAACAAAAACTCTTAAACAATATTGGCTTTTCTATTCCTTGTAGCTATGCTGCAAAGCTGGAGAATGCAAACCTTGAAGACTCATAATAAATCAAAGACTCTTTGTAAAGACACAGCCCTTCTACAACAAGGAATATATTTCATTCAGTCTATGGTAGTCCCAGCACTTTGTAATAAAGGAGTAACTGAATTTTGAATTTTCTCAGCAAGGCTCAGAATTTTTTCCTTGAAACCCTGAGATTCAAATCTGGAAATGGTTCAAATTAAAAAACAAAAACAAAATAGTTGGGCCTTTGTGGTCCTATGAATCTCATATAGTACAGAATTTCATATCCTAAGAAACCTCTAGTTATTTCTCCTAGGATTTACATCAGAATTCTTTTCACAACAATGAGTGTGTTGCTGGAATAGACTGACATATATAAAAATGGTGCACTCCCATGCTCTTCCCATAATGTGATAGCAGTTGAGTCATTCAGACAAGGACTTGGAAGAGGTTGGCAGAAATTCTTATGCCCAATCATTTCCAGTAGTAGATAGATGCCAGAGGCCTTTTCTGATGTCCACTCTACTGCTTCAGAAGCAAAGCACTCTCAGTTGTGCATAATGGTATGAATTATATAGGTAGCTTTTTAGGGTACGGATGATGTTCATAAATATAGTGGTGGGAGGGGTAGAACAAGTGAACCAAAGTTTTTGAATTCACAAGTATCATTGGTTAGCTCAAATGTATAGTTTTATCCCATTCAAGGAATTTAATAGCAGAAAGGGTTTGTTAAAATCTAATTTCCCACAGCTTCCCACTCAGCTAGCTGAGAAGAGCCAGGATAATATTTCTTTCTTATATTGGCTATGCTAATCGCAGTGACTTCAAAGTATAAAGACTTTCATTCTAGCTTTGAATAACTAAAACATTTCCTCCCAAGTCCATATGCTTTGCTTATTGCAGGAAACCCAAGAATCTCCATTCCAGTCAAAATATTTTCAGCTTCAGCACCTTGGAGAGGGGTTCTTTAGCACTTGAATACATGAGGTAAGAACCAGCTGTAGTGTTGAAAGCTTCCCAATCCCTACAGCCAAATGTTGGAAGATGGTGAACTGCTACGAAACCTTCATATCCTTGCCATCTGCAGTGCAGACAAAACAGTTACTCAGTTTGTAATTTCCAACTCATAGTATCCAATTCTTCCAATATTTACAAATTGTTTTCTTACTGTGGAAGTGAACTGGAGAAAAATTCCTTTAATGCAAGCTCAGACAACCTAGAGGTCAGATTCCTTAGTCTGGTGTTCTCCAGATGTAGTGAGATATCAGCTCCCAAATTCTCAGCCAGAATAACCCAATAGCCAGATAGCTAGGAATTTTAGGAGTCCAAACAATAGGTTGAGAAAGTCTGACTTACAATATACAGTAGATCACAAATAGGCAACTTGGTGTTTTCCAGATTATTATGACTAAAACACCTACAATTCTTTGCCTTTTGGCTGTGCTGACTGGAGCTGATGGGGGTTGGTCCAAAATGTCTAGAAGGCATCATAGTGACTTTTCCTGATATACAGTAGATATTTAGCATATCCAAGTATATTATTCATTCAAGGTAGCTTTTTATTATCATACCATATGGAATTGCTTAAACCAAATTTTCCCAGGCTGGGCTTCCAGGCGTTTCTGGCTTCCAATAACTCTCACCATCTGTATCCATTTCTCACTGAGTAACTAGTGAACATTTTTCTTTGACTACAGAACTCCCCTCCTGAGTACAGAACTCCCTCTCCACAGGCACACAGGGAAGTAGATTTCTGTTAATAAAGCTACAGAACAGGTATAATCTATCAGAATGGTATGTACAGCCCACTTTCCCAAAGCTCTCAGAGCAGAAAAATATGGATGCTACATTATGTCATGTTTGCATGTAAGGAGCTTTACATGACTTCCACCCCTCTTCTTTGAGAGGGGAATTTTCCTATTTTTATGCAGCATATATCCTGGGTAGAGTTTTCATTTGCACTGACCACTAGGAGGCAGGTACTACCAGACTAGTTTGTCCTATCTGGGACTCATCAGACATAAGTAACCAGATGTTATTCTGTGAGGTTCAAACTGGATGTTATTCTATGGGGTTCAATTCCCAGTAGAGGGTTTGAAGGGGCAAGCAGGAAGTAGGGGTCAGCCCAATGTGTGGGGACTTTTTCCTTCTTCTCCTCTTGAATAATTCATCAATATAATTGTTGGTTTTCTGATCTGGAGTCTACATTCACAGTCTGGAAGACAGACGTGCACTGAACTACATGTGCAACACCCATCAGTTATAGCACCCTTCTTCCCACTTAAAATCTGTTTGCAGAAGCCTACATAATGTGTGTGTGAGTGTGTGTGTGTGTGTGTGTGTACACAGAGACAGAATGGAGAACATCAAATGTAACACTTTTATTTTTAAAAAGTGAAGAAGGAAAAACTTAACCTTTTGTTTACTACATAAAGAGCATGGATACATGAGCCAGGCTTTAGTTTAGATTCAGAAAAAATGAGCCTTTCAAGAGTAATTTACAAAAGTTTTTCACGTGAGTACAACAAGAAGGAATTTATAAGGGAAGTTTCAGGAACAGCTAAACACCTCACTGAATCTGTTCCAGTGACCTAGTTGTTTATAATCTGGATATCTGCTATTTAGCATCGAGAATAGAGGGTGACAGTAGACTAATTTTCAGTATAGCCTTTTTTCCTATACAGATTAACATAATAACATGGATTCAATCATTTTATCTTTTGTCCTTTTTTCTTAATTGTAAAAAGACTCCAATATCAAATGACAAAACTGAGGCATGTTCTCCATATCACTTACCTGTAAATAATACTGTTTACAGAGAAGGTCACGCCATCATAGGAATTTGCAACAACCAAAAAGTTGTCTTCTCCCACTGAAAAGAATTCCCAGTCCAGAGCACTGTGGCATGAACAAACCAAATACAAAGTTATTGCAAAAGTCACAGAATCAGTGATGAACACATTCTGTTTCCATTTATATTAGAACAGGGGATGGCAGGGTGTGCCATAATTTTCTGAAATCAGTATAATTTCAGAAAATGAAAATGTCAGTGTTTCTATTATATACAGTATTTCTACTGGCAAGAGCAATTTAAGATAGTATTCTAGAATGTACTTTTAGAATATGAAAACAAACCCAAACATTCTTGAAAATATTTTCCTACTAACAAAAGAACCCAATGCCAATGTTTTGAGCAATACTCAGAAAAGGCACCTGTATGTAAGGATGTCCTGGAACTTGACAAACAACTGTGCAGTGATGTTAAGCTCATAGATGGAAGAATTAATGGCAAAAGTGTTGATTGGTGCTACTGTGCTACTGTCATAACTGTGACTGTTTGCCACAGCAAGAAAGACTCTGTCTCGGATGTAAAAGACCTCCCAGTCAGCAGCACCAAAAGTCTAGAAAAAAGAGTAGGAAAAAGAGAAGACTTTCAGAATATGAGTCACATCTGTAAAAGGATATATTTGATAATCTGATCCAGTATGAGATGTCTAGATGATTTGCCTCTCTTTCCAAAAATCAATTCAGCATACTTGACTAAGTATCAGCTTCAATTAACAGCTTCTACAAATGTTGCGTTTCTTTAATGGTAATCCCCAGACTATTTGACTGTAAAGGGAACAATGGGAACAATATAACAACAATAATAATAATAAAAACCTGGCACTACAGCTAACCTTTCCCATGTAGCCTGCAACACCTTTATCCCATGCCAATCTCATTTTATCCCAATGCCTGGGACAAAAGACAGGTCTTAAGTGTTTTTTGGAAGGTTAAAAGGGTGGGGGCCTGCTGGACCTCAAGGGGAAGGGTGTTCCATAGGGTAGGGGCTGCCACAAAAAAGGCATGCTTCCTAGGTCCCATAAGATGGCAGCATTTAAGGGAAGTTTTACTTGAAAACCTACTGAATTACAGCCCCTAAAGAAAACTTTCCTTAGAAATATCCACTCAGTGTCCATTTCAGATGGATCAGGGACCTATTCTAGGAGCAGATATCATTGGAGACAAAACATCTCAGACCTATCTTTTTAACTGCTAACACAATTATATTTGTGAATTTTGACATTGATTCTATGGTTGTCTCAAAGTAGCTGGGAATGGCTGGCTACAATATCAATTTTTCTTCCATGAAGATAGTCTTTGGAGTTGTGCCTGGAAAACAGAGTGCTAAAATTGGAAAGCAATGTAGAATTCTTCAGAAAAGTCTCTTAACCCTGATATAGTCCTACAGGTTTCTGTTAAGGTGTGTGTGAAAAAAATCCATGTACTGTAGTTTTTTGATATTGTTGAAACATTGTTAAAATATGTTCCTTCATAAGGAATCATTCCAAAAGCAGCACCATTAAGCAGTGAGGCCCAGTGCCAGATTCTGTTAATTCAAGGCAAGAAAATGATGACAGATTTATAATTAATTTTGCTGATAATTTACTCCTTCCAAAATTGGACAAAGAGGATGACCTACCCTTAACTTGATACTAACCAATGGGGAAGATTTTGTTGAGGAATGGAAGTTGCAGGAAAAAAAACTGAGAGGAAGTGGGACTGTTTTCCTGTTCAGCTCCCATTTTTCTCCATTAGCCCAAATGATGGGCCTTTGAGGGGAGGTCATCAAACCAGAGCTTTATTTCTTCACCTACTACCAATGGCTTTTTTTTTTCACTTTTGAACACTTTTGCCTTGTTCTGTATTTATTTATTTTATTTATTACTAAATTTATATGCCACCCATCTCCCCCAGAGGATGACTCTATATGCACAATTCATATCCCCCAATATGCATATTTATATACTATGGATAAAAATTTTATTGTTTGATTAGAACTTTGCCCAAGCATTTAAACAAACTGGTTTTCCCATTGTTATATCTTACCAAGATTGACTGGAAAAGCTGGAAACTTCCATTGAGCCAAATGTAGATGTGAGAGTAGATCTTGGTTGATGTTCCATTAAATGTGTTGGCCACCACCAGAAAGGAATAAGGGCCAATACTGAAAAATTCCCAGTCGTAGGCTCCTGAGGTAAGAATGGTCTGATTGGCTTCAAAAAGCCCTCTTCTAGAGTTCCACCTATATATGACACTGTTGATGTTGTGGTTATCTCCTAGAGAGGAGTAAGGAAAAGATAATGTGCATGGAGGTGGTATCAAAAACATGGCAAAACAGGATGAGGTGAAAGTTGCACAAACACAAGACTATCTTTGATTTTAGAAATGTTGATTACTGACTTCATTTAATGAGTTTTTGAAATTAGTTTGATGAGGAAAGTCAAGCCAGAACTTGAAAATGAAAAGAAGAAACATGATACATGTAATGAAGACAATGGCTTACTCTTAAATGAAAAGCCAAAACACTCTAGAGGTGAATATGCGTAGCTCAGGGTTGAACTGTGGAGTCCTTGAGGTTCTCTGAGCTTGGTTCTTTGCAAACATTTCATTACCTGGCTAGGTAACATCTTCAGTGCTGAAATATGGGGTTTGCTCTCTATTTATATACTGTGGCATGCCTTGCCAGTGCTGGTGGGGGTGAGGACTTTGTTTTGATCCTCTGGTAGTTCCTTGATTAGCATATATTTACTGCTTGATTGTGTGCCTGATGGTAACCTTTGCTGATCTGGGTGATGATTGCTGGTGAGGCAATCTTCTGATCTTTTGTCTCTTTTGAATAGTATGTAGATGCTGTTTATCTCTGTGTGTCTGTTAATTGCTGCCTTATCTGAATACCAAGCTTCCAAGAATGCTCTTGCATTTTTGGATTTAGCTTGGTCTAAAGTGCTGACAGTTTTCCAGTTAAAACTATGGTTAAGTCTTTTGAATAGACTTAACTATGGTTAAGTCTATTCAAAAGAGACAAAAGACCAGAAGATTGCCTCACCAGCAATCATCATCCAGATAAGCAAAGGTTACCATCAGGCACACAATCAAGCAGTAAATATATGCTAATCAAAGAACTACCAGAGGAACAAAACAAAACCCCCACCAGCACTGGCAAGGCAGGCCACAGTTTATTAAATAGAGAGCAAACCGCATCCCATTCTAGCACTGAAGATGTTACCTAGCTGGGTAATGAAACGTTTGCAAGAAAAGAACCAAACTCAGAGAACCCCAAGGACTCCCCAGAACTGTTACCTAGCTGGGTAATGAAACGTTTGCAAGAAAAGAACCAAACTCAGAGAACCCCAAGGACTCCCCAGAACACTCTGATTAGTTTTAAAAGTATAGTTTAAGATTCTGTCTCAGTTGCTTACAAGTTTAAATTAACCAAAAATCCCTAGGCTGTGACTTAGTAACAGACCATAAATTTAAAAGTGTAAATGAATAATTGTGTCTCTTCTCCAGTGACCCTAGAGAAGAAGAAGGAGAAAAAGAGGGACCATGCAAGTCTGAATCTTGGGAACATGATGTTAATTCAGTCTATATAGAGCAAAGTGTTTCCAAGTGAAATACCATCCTTTGTGGACTACTGCTTCTAAGTTACTTTTTAAACTAAGTGCTAATTTAAAAGTGGAAATTCTTCTGTCTCCCAAGCATATAGTGGTTTGCAAGAAAAAAGGAACATGAGTGACATGGGAGAAAAGAGAGTCGCATGCAAGGATGAGAAATAAAACTTTTTAATGAGTTCAGCAAAAGATTTTAATCATTTCCCCTAACTTATTTATTTCTGCAGAAGTAATGAAGAGAACAGCTAGTACCTGACTAATATGATACATTTTATTTTCACATCATCCTTGCTTACTTCATAAAACTAAAATACTTTTCTTCACATGTAACACTTTACATAGCTATATAGACTTTTTAAAAACTACATAAATCTTTTTAGACGAGACTAGAATTCTTTCTATAGGACAGTACTGTATTATTTCAACAGACCACTTGGTGTCAGTACACTCTTATTTCAGAGATCATCAGACAGTTTCGCAAACGTTTCAGTTGATTCTACCTGTATCCCAAACAATTTTAAACTGGAATTAGACAAACTGATGGAGATTAAAGCTGCCAGTGACTATTAACCATGACAGTTCTGTGCTTCCTCCAGGATCAGATACTATGTCTCTGAATGCAGCCTTGTAAAGTAGGATAGAAAGACATAAACATAATGAAACTTTGATTTGATGGACTATTTAGGGCAGTGTTTCTCCGCCTTGGAACTTTAAGATGTGTGGACTTGAACTGCTGGCTGGGGAATTCTGGGAGTTCAAGTCCACGCATCTTAAAGTTGCCAAGGTTGAGAAACACTGATTTAGGGGTGACCATTAAATCTCAATGATTGCTAAATTCAAGGTTACATCATCTGTATCCATGTTGATCATTTGCATAATAATATGATCATCATCAGCATGAATCAATCCATTTCAGGATGAAGGCCTCTTCACTGAAGGTTATAGACCATAATCTACCACACCAGCCCAATGCAGGTTGATAGATGGTGGTTTTTTTTACAAGCCATTCAGGCTGGTATCCCATCATTGCCTCTCCACTAGTTATAAACGCCTGAAGGCTCAAATCCTGTGTCAATAAAGATGACAAAATTCAGATTATAATGAGTGTCAATGACAAAGGAAAGGAAATTTGCATATGCAGATTCAGCAAAAAAAAGAATTCAGATACCTTTTCTGTGATTAGCCACTGCAAGAAAGGTCTCTCCATCAATGACAAATGCCTCCCAATCTCTAGCACTGTGGGTGGCAATCCTCTGGAACACGGTGAACTTCTCTTTTCTGTAGTTCCACTTATAAATTACAGAAAACTCACGACCCCTTGCATTCTGTCCAAGATTAGCCACTACAAGGAAAAGCTGAAAAACAAGAAGCCACAACAATTTAGACATTCCTTTTGCACAGAACAACCAAAAACACAAAAATGGTAGACTTCATTTTTAATGTAATATGAATTAAAGAGATGCATTTAAGGGCGTGCATCATTTTTAGCTGAATTGGGATAGAATAGGGCTGATTCATGATTTCAGAAAGATTCACTAGGTATTTGGATCCAAGCAGGGATTCTCCAAAGTAGGCCAAATCTGAATATGAATTCTCCTGAAGCTTTGTTAGCATCATAGATATTTGGAGATACAGTGGGACAGATAAGCTATATTTACAAAAAGCTGACAGATTTCCTCTTAAGTCTCCCTTACATGATAATTATACTGTTATGAAAGAAGCATGTAAATTCTACAGTTGTACTTTAAACGGAACAGTTTCTGTACCAGATATATTTTGAGGGGAAGAAGGCATGTTCTAACTATTTCATATGCTGTAATGTATGCAATATAATAAAAAAGAAAAGAAAACTCCAATACACTTTTCCCAATACCCAGGAAAAATGGCTCAGCCATATGCATGATCAAGCCCCACCCATTGTGGATCCAGCTCCTGCCACCCCAATATGTTGTGTCTTGCTCCTGGCCACCAAAAGATTGTCCCTCCTTACTCTAGATTTTGGCTGAAATCAGAATGGATGCACCCACAGTGGATTTTTTTTCCCCTGATTTCTTTTTATGAAAACTCCCCACTCACTAAAATAATAGTTTGAAAATGAAGCAGAATAGAGTTTTCCAGCATCTGTTGCCTTGCTTCTTTTTTAATAGTTATAGGCTGCTCTTCAGCCAGTGTTCTCAGACTCCCTCACAATAAAATAACAAAAACAGATGACGGTAATGCAAGCTAAAGCAGGTAATGAAACAAACAAGCAAAGGCAGTTTAGAATACTCTTACATGTTGCCCACCAAAATGAGGCTGCAGACCTTTCTCCAGCCTTCCCAAGAAGGTGAAGATGATGGGGACTGCAATCCAACACATCTGGCAAATACTGGGGAAGTGGATACTCAAATACACATTTACTTAGGAGAAAGTCGTATTTCTTTGTATGTTTTTTAGGTATCTATGTCAGTTTCCAGCCAGGAGCTCAAGGTCTCTTCATTTTATTCTCACAATTGTTTTTAAAAAATGGGCGTTTTCTAAGTAGGGCATAGATTTGTTTCTGCTAACCAGCCTTTAGCAGCGCTCATCTTTGAATGATCCTGAACATCTTCAGTAAGTTTCTCAAAAAAACTGAACTCTACCTTATTGTAATTGTCTTTCATCACAGAAAATGCAACACCTATTTTGTCTAGGTCTGGGGAAATTATTCAACAACAGTTTTGATTAACTCAAATTGAATCGAAGAATACCAAGTCATTATTTACACTTTACCTTTTTTCCTACAATGAAGAATTTCCAGGACTGAGCTTGGTTGGTGGGGAGATTTTGATAAGGCACAAATTTTTCATCAATCCATTTGTAAATGGCTGATCCAGGAGGAGTGAAGCGATTGGCAGTAGCTGCAAAGAGACCCACCTTAGGGATGACGAAGATTTCAATGCCCAATGTTTCAGAATTTGTAGCTAAACTCTGGTATTCTTCCAAATAGTCCAATCTTTCTTCAACTAGAAAGTGACAGGGAGCAAGAAAACCAACTGTCACTATCAAGGGAATTCTAGAGGGATGATGATCCAATAGAATAATTATTCCTGGCCTTTTTCATCTCCCATTCTTCTTTCAGTGTGCTTGTGTTTTGGATCTTGAATTCTTTTCCAAACTCTTTTACTCATCCTGCCTGATCTTATTCAAAATTACTTAAATCCAAATAAAGATCTAGTCACTCTACTCACAGCATTATAACTCCCTTATAAACCTTGTTGAAACTAGTTATGTTCCTTCCTGACAAATATATTTTCAGCATAGTTTCTTCTCATTGTCTTTCTCATTGTCTATCTGTATGTACTTATTATTAATGCAATTTCTCAGAAGTTTAATTCCCTTGCAAAAACGGCTTCTGTTTTTCTATGTTGTACTCAGGATGTGGGATAATTTCATTTGAATTTCTCTCCATGGTGCTTTTTGTTGGAGATGGTGGATAATGCTATTGTTGGTAATATAGTTTTTGGGTCCACATTTTTCAACCACTTTGAAGCCTGCCTAGCTATTTACATTTACTAATCTGGAAAGAAGAATTTCCTGCATGATATCTTTCCTTTGTGATTTAATAGAAACATGAGAAACCAGGAGGCTATATATTACAGGAGAGATTATTGTACTACATTCCATCCTTGGAATTCCACCAACATTATCTTTTTCTCTGAAATATATGTCAATTTTTCTGTCATTGAACTACATGACTTCTATTAGGAAAAAAATGTTCCGCATGGCACTGTTTAGGCATACTGATACCATAAAATATCCCTCGAAGAATCCTAGGGATTTTAACAGGACTCAGAATGTGTAGTTAGAGATTTCTCTCCTTCTGCAACTTCCCTGAAATCAATTGTCCAGAGTTGTCTGGGGAGCATGGAAATGGCTGTCAAACCACATTGGCTTTAGTGCATGCATGCAATCTGCACATGAATACCACAACATGTGTTAACGATACCCTGCAAAGTATTATTCCAAGAATCTCTCAAGATGAAACAGACAAATGAGACAATAGAAGGAGGGGAGATGGACATTGATGGAAAGGGAGACAGAAGTATTTATTTCAATGACACATATTTTGGTTTAATTTATATAAGACAACAGGCAAAGAGAGTTAGGATTTGAGATTTCAGGGACAAGTTTAATGCCCAAATATTTACATTCCATAAACCAGTACTATCAAAAGTTCCAAGCATCCATAATTCAATAATATTCAGAAAGCACTCACCTTCTAGCATGGAAATCCATTCATTCCCAGTACAGATATATAGTCCTTTCTTAGCAATGTTTAACCAGAATTGGCCACTTTCAGTCTTGGTGCAAAGAGGACGGGAACCCAAAGTCACCTTCATGTCTGCTTCTGAACATCAACAACAATCAAATGGGATCAGATCAAAACTTGCTCTGACTTTGAAAGAAATGTTATCATGGTGTACATCTACCTATTGCACAGTATAAAACCAGAATATATCACTTTAGAATATTACTCACATTTTAAATATAAATACTCATATTCTTTCAGAGAACACTTAAACACTTATAGTGTATTTCTACAAATAACTGAATGCACTGGAAAGGTCATTTAAAAAAATAAAAATAAAAATTCCATTCTCTTCTTATGGACCTTCTGCATATTTGGCTGTACCTAGGCTTAGCGGTGTTTAGAGTAGACCTATTGATTCTGTGATATTTATTGGTATAAGTAACACCAAATGTTTTTTTACTAAGCATTATTAACAAATCTATACAGATCTAAGATGTTTTTCTCCTGCTTTGTTTGCTGCTGGCAATTATAATATTCCCAGATTTAACCAATTAACTTAACCACTGCAGTCTAGATGCTGCAATAACATACATTTGCTGGTCTTTTGAGTTTCACTAAGTAAGAATTAGTTTAACATTCAATTCTATATTTTTTAAAAAGATGGAGAGAGAGAGAGAGAGGAGAGAGAGAGAGAGAGAGAGAGAGAGAGAGACCAAATATAGATTCCCCGCCTGAAGACGGAGGTCTCAAATCCTGGTGAGCAAATACTAGTGTAATTCATTCTGATTTTCATGTGTCAAAATAACTGATTTTGAGAATATTTGGGATAACCTATCATTCATCATTGAACTAATGACTTCAATAAAGCTTAAGCATTGTAACCATTTCTTGGACTGAGTTCTAAACAGTATTTAAAGCCATGTTCTCCCAACATACTGAACCACAAACTAACCCAACATGAGTTAACCTAGAATACTGTTTAAACTCAAACTGTATCCTACAGAGCCAGAAATGAAAAATTGAGGAACCCACAGTCAGGTAGACCATGGGAAGTGTAACATATGAACATAGCCAATATGAATATGGGTTTTAGTTCACTGACTCTCTGCTTCCCTCTACCCAGTGCTATTAAAATCATTGAGCACAGCCATGATTCAACAGGCACCCAGACACTTACCTTCTAAATGGAAATCCACTCATTCCCATTCCATAGACCCAATTTTTGTGAACTAGTTCCTACATGGAAATATTTCCATCTAGAAAAAATTGTATACTATCGTGTGAAATTGGCCTGTTTGTTTTGCTGCAATTACAAGAATTGAGAAGCAGCATTGGCTTCCAAACCCAGGTACTTGAAGCAAAATGAATACATCCATTTCACACATGATGATGTATTGATCTTCCCTTATGTGGAAATTATCTCCATGAAGAAAAAACAGCTATGCAAAACAGACCTACAACATTATATTTCAGCTTTTCTAGCAAAGCTTGTGATTGTCAGACTCGCTCATGATAACAAGACTGAACACAAAACTTAGAGAAATTGGCTTAAGTTCTAAGAGATGCCAAGAAACACAATAGCTGATGTTCTTAGCAATTATGATAGGCATATAATTCTTTTGTTTCCTTTCTGGTTTCCAGCTTTCAACAAGTAGTCATTTGCGACTATACACCTTCATGCACAACACACACACACACACATGAGTCCTAGTCTCATTATCCAATGTGCCTCAATGTTGATGTTTTATTAAGCCATGTAAGCAAAGCAATGGCCGTTAGTCTTCCCAGACAGTTATGTTATGGGACAGTTATGTTATGGGACTCAACACCTTGGATATTATCCTAAGGAATCCCACAGGGTACTCTTTTGCTTCTCAAGGTACTTAACTACTATATGAAATGATGGGGGAAGGTGATATGAGGATATGAATGTCTGGTTATAAGAAAGTGAATGGTGGCCCTTCCTCAAATCCTGCAATGCAGTCGATTTCCTGAAGCTCAGTTCAGGCTGTATGGCATTGTGGATGGGGAGTGTAGGGGAATGGAAGGAAGAGATAAGCTAGATTAGGGATGGGGGATATTCCTGAACACACTGTTAGCCATGCTGAGTAGGTCCTGAACTTCTGCAAATGGGCTGGTGTACCACTTTCCAAGGAAATACACAGGCTTTGTGCATAAAGCACTAAGTCTTATTGTGGTTTGCTGGTTTTGACTTCATGTAGGCTATAGCTTAACAACCCATTTTAACTCAGTCAGTTGTGATTTACTGTGGTTAAACAATCCATGGCTTAGCACAGTAAATGACTTGAGCCTCCACCTGGAAATACTCTGGATCCCCCACCTTCACCTGTAATACCTGTGAGCGGAAGTATTTTTTACCACCCAAAGTTTTTCCCAGAAGCTCTGGGGAAAAGAGATCTAGCCACAGTGCTAAAAGTAGAGCTGTACTCAAGCCAAGCTGAACTCCTGACTGGTAATGTCATGTAGTTTTCTTGGCAAAAATGCAAAAGTGATTTACCATTGCCTTTCCCTTTTTTCACTCCCCAGTCTTGCTTACATCTCTGGGATTTGCATAGTGGTTTCCCATGCGAGTACTGGCCAGGTCTGATTCTGATTAACTTTTTAAAGAGCAGACAAAGTTGCCTAGCCTCTGGAATGCCTGCCATTAAAATCTGTACTATACTTTACATAAGGCTGATCCAGACTGTCAACTGATCCAGAATGCAGCAGTGATTTCAATGGTTCAATACTCTAGTTATTAACTAGCATCTATCCCTAAAAAAGAGCTTCACTGTTTCCAGACATTTGGTAAAATTGCAACATTGCTCTGGTCTGTAGTTTTTAATACAAGCTGGTGAACAAACCACCTGAAAAATTATGTTTTATTTTACTAACCGTAAGGGTATTTCAGCAGCTCATTGCCCGCAGGTTTCACAGGCAGATCCTGCAGAATTTGGGGGATGGACAGCACTGCTAGATTAAAATTCATGCCAGTGCACATCCTTGAAGTGGCATCAGATCCTGGCAACAGGACTAGCTGCCTTATCAAGCCCTGAAAAGAGAGGAAGAAAGACTAGGGAATCAATATCAAAAGCTCTTCTGGGGACAATAGTTGGTGATTTTCCACAGAGGAGGAGGAGGAGGAGGAGGAGGAGGATAGGACTTAAGTCAGCCTAGAAGCTACACCTCTGACCTTAAAATCCAACCCCCTATTTCCACATGTGTGAGACCATGAGAGAAAAATATTCTTGATGCATTAAGAGGTACTATCTGTCAATTGCTTCAAACACAATTGCAATGTGTTTGAAAACAGAGATCGGCCTCTCAAAACAAATTTCAAGGTTGGGCTAGCTGTACTTCGATAAAAATCACATCTTATGTTTGCACTGGCCTTTGTTTTGGGCTGTGATCAAAGGACTTGCTTCTTGCCACCTACCAGCAACGCCCCTCTGGATGCTATGTAGGACAAACAGACCAGACTTTGCACAAAAGAATTAATGGGAAGAAAACATCAGGACTCAAAATAAGGACAAAGAAATAACAAAGCAAAAGGAATGAAGGAAGACCCAACTTCAATAACCTCCAAATATTCCATTACAGATCTCAAAGTAGCCGTTTGAGTACAAATAAACTACACCAGCACAATTGAGCATGTGACAATTGAGCTTAAATACATCAACAGGCTTTAGGCTATCTAAGAAGGTTTGAACAAGACCCTGAATGCCCCACTCCAATTGTACACCCCTAGTCTGGAATGATAGCTTCGTTAAGACTTTCATTCATCTGGAAAAGCATCAAAGAACCTCCAGATACATAACCTGAACCCCTTTAATGTTTTTCTCTCAATGGAATTTTGTCAAAATTTATTTTCAGTCTCTTAGGTCTAATTTTGAACTCCCTAATGGACTACAGTACTATGTTCCAGCAAGTTCTAGTCTTGCTGTAATATTCCTGGTCCAGTCACCTATACTGAGCACATGCCCAACAGATGTGGTGAATCCATTTGCATTTTCACTATATTCAAGCTTGAGATGTCTGCTTTGGGCTTTCTGAAATCACAGCCTGAGCTAAATGTATCACTTAAAGGGCAAGATAAAACCAGTATAAACCACTTCAGCTAGTATTTTTTCACTGCCTGTTTATTCTACCTATCTTTACAAAAGCTCTGTCTGATAACAGTAGAGAACATTTCAATCAACATTGTTTAAAAAGGAAGTACAATAAATAGCTGCTGAGCTATACTCCAAAGCATTAGGAAGGGAAAAGGCATTTTCCTGCAAAAAATTATTTCAAAAAATAAATATGCTTTTCTGAATGCAAAAGAACTTGGTTATTTACAAAGCTGTTTTTATCTGCTGTAGAATTTAATGTAGAAACTACTATCAGACTTCAACTTCCACAACAAGAGAATCCCAGCCCACTGTCAGCATCAGTTGCATCTTTAAAAATAAGTTGACTGCTGAAATAAAAAAAAAAATAATATTGGAGTGAAAACAGAAGGGTAGTTTTTTTCCCCTGGACTGAGCATACGCTCAGAGGCACTCTGTTCCTTAATTCTTACCTTTCATCCACCCATCTGAGCTACTTATTTTTTGCTTGAGTCTGTTTAGTGACTCTCAGAGGGTTTTGTGCGTGTGTGTGTGTGTATCCACCTTTGAGTTAGTGTTGACTCTGGGCAACTACCTGAACATGTCCCTGCAGTTTTCTTGGCAATATTTCAGAAGTGACTTACCATTGCCTCCTTCCTAGGGCTGAGAGACAGTGGCTGGCCCAAAGTCACCCAGCCGGCTTCATGCCTAAGGCGGGGCTTGAACTCACAGTCTCCTGGTTTCTAGCCTGGTGCCTTTAACCACTACACCAAACTGGCTGTCAGAGTTCTAGTAAAAAGTAATCCAATCCCATAAGACTCTAAAAACCCAAACCCTGAGGCTGCTTTGTATGAGAGTACAGTTTAGAACATTATACACCAGTTTGTTACATGTATTGTTAAACCCTGTTAATCCAGGTAATCTGTCACATTAAGGATGATGCTACCATTCTGCCTTGACAGCTTCATTTGTTTCATACACTGTATCTTTCTCATGCCCAAACTGACTCTGATTTGTTTTCTTATGTGACAGTTTCTTCTTATGTGTGTTAGGTGTACCAGGCTTTACTTTCTGTCTTTTCTTTAGGTTGTATCACTAGACCTGAACTTTACCTTTTAGAATGCAACACATTTGGGACTTGGATGTCTAAAAGAAGGCCTTCATTCCATAGGAGCCTGGCTGCTTATCAAGAATATTATCAGAAGCCATTCCCTAACGCCCACAGGTCTTTTAAATTGGAGCAAGTGATGACCAGAGAGGAGCGATTTTCATTTTTCCTGGAAGTCTAAGGTGGCAAAACTGAGTTTACAGATAGTCCTTGGTTAACAACGGTAATTGGGACTGGGAACTCTGTCAGTAACCAATGCTGTCAAAAAGCGTGACGTCACGTGACTGTGCCGACTTATGACAGCAGTTCCAGCAGTTCCAGTTGTGGTCATTAAGCAAATCCTGCATGGTTGTTAGGCACAATGTCACATGATCACCATTTGTGACCTCCTGACAGCTTCCCCATTGACTTTGTTTATTGGAAGCTGGCCATGAAGGTTGCAAATGGCAATCACCTGACTGTGAGACACTGTGACCATTGTAATTGTGAGCCAGTTGCCAAGCACCCAAATCATGATCACATGACCACGGGGATGCTGTGAGGGTCACAACTTTGAGGAATGGCCATAAATCTCATTCAGCGCAGTCATAACTGAACAGTTGCTGAACTCATGGTTGTTAACCAAGGACTACCTTTATTTGGTCAGAAGTGGCCTAATTTCTCCTAAGTTTATTTTAGGATAAATAAATATAATTTAAAATCTTGCTGTTACCTCCCCAAAATGTTAAACTTAAAAGGTATTGATGTTATGTTCTCCCTTATCAGCTTTGTTTGAGCAGGATCTTAAATGTCGGGGAAAGGGAATTAATTATATTACGACTCTCCTTTAATCAGGGGACCAGCTGTTTATAAACAATTAAAACTTTATTTTACAAAAATATTATATGAACAGATAACATGGGATGTAAGTTGTGTCTGCTTAAAAAAACAGAACTCAGTGTTTACTTATAGAGTGACGTTTACATTTTTGCAATGGCTACCAATGTCTCTTTTCTTTTCTAGATACTGATGTCTCCTTTCCTCTCTTCTCACACTTCCCTCCACATTCTCTGGCATTATGCCCCATCTTTCTTATAAAGAAGGGCCCAATTAATCCCTCACTTACTTTAGTGGAATGCAAGTAACTACCATTTCATCACACCTTCTTGGATATGCCCTCCCAGAGCAGTTCTTCTGGCACTGGGTTTAGTGTCCTTCCACCACCAGATAAACACCTTTTAATCTGCTCAAATTTGCCATTATACCAATGACTTCTATTTTTATATTGCCAAGTTTTATCTCTCTAGATTTTCATTCTTCTGTCATCTATCTTCTTTGTATGACTTTACAAGCCTTCCTGGGAATTTTATTAAGCTGTAAACATGTTTTAAAGAAATAATGAAGTATCTAAGAAGTGAATTCTATTGATTATCACAGTTCCACCATGTTTTATATCCATGTTTCCTTCTAATCTCAGGTACTCTGCTTTGACTTTGAGATTTCTTTAGGTGATGTTTGTAGTGATACTTTTGAGTATTTGGTTTACTCCCCATTGCTTTTGTATGCTTATCATCAACTCCTATCTTGTACTCCCTTTGGCTACTTTTACACCATCCTCCCTATACCCAAACTTATCTTGAACCAGATACCTCTTTCAACCACTCTCAACACTTCTTCCCTTAGTTTAGAGGAAGAAAGAAGTTTATCTTTTGCTTAATTGTACCGCCCAATACTAATCAGAGAATATACTATGTTATTTGTTGCAACATCTGTTCAGAAAGTTTGTTGCTGACTCATCTGAAAAAATAGCAAAAAAAGATCACCACTAATCCAAAATAGAAAAGAAGCCATTCTATCTATGTATTTGCAATTTATTTGGAAATACCTCAGGGAAGAAGGAAAATTATAGTGTTCCCATAGGATTAGGGCTTGGGCTTCTCTTGGTGTAATTGGGTATGGGAAGAACAAAGCTGTTCATCTGATCTTGTGCAGAACTTTGTCTGCATTGAGAGTTTTATGATGTTTGAACAGAATGTACTGTTGGTTATTGCAGAAATGTCAGTCTTTATTAATGCCTCCATTTAAATACCTATATATAATATGGGAACAGGGAGAAGAGGAGGTCAGCTTACTTGAACCAGTGGCAAAGATAGAGAACACTACCC